CCTTCTTGAGTCCTTACCATTATTATGTCTCTGGGAAACACTCTTTACAATTACTATTTGCAGAGTGTGAGTTTTCCCATCAAGAAAACAGAAGCCAGAATTCTTGTAGCTTTGTAATTAATAGGATATTGTCAGTTGTCATGCCACTAAATAAGTGTGAGGGGAGAGGTGAGTGTGTTCTGTGATCCCAGCCATTGCAGGCTAACAGGAAGATTTGCCTGGTCCAGATTATCTTCATGCCAAATGTGACATCTCTTCATGTATTATTTTTAACTTCCAAAATGAAATATGAAATGTTCCTAACAGTCGCCCAAGGATGCCAAAGCTTCAAAATTAGAAATCACTTTCAAGCTTCCTTTCTTCTTCCTGCCCCCTCCCCCCAGTGAACTGCTGTATTAACACTCATTATAGCAAATCAGAGCAGATGGGCAAACAGACTGATTAGTTATATAGACATATATATGTATTTTTTCCCTTCATGGTTCTGAGATATTGGCTCCTTAATAAAAGAAAGGAGTTTTTAGATGTCACCTTTTCTTGCGTTTTACTTTTTAATCAGACATTAGAAAGGCACTTTGCTCCTGATCTATTAATAACTTGGCTACAATCTTTTCTTAACTGCTGACTTCATGGCTCTCTGTGTCCCCATTGCAACCAGAATTTGATTTCCCTCCAGTTCTCCAAGCCTCATGTGGTGTATTCATGCTCTTTCTGGCTTATTATTTCTTTATGGAATTTTTCCTTCTAAATTCATTTTTTAGAAGTGCCATTCTTGAGAAGGAAAGTATCTAAAATATTTTTGGCTTTTCTACTCAAAATTAAAAGAGTCTATGATTAATTAATGGGAAGTTAAATTACCCATAATATTATGTCAATAGAAATATTTTCCTGTAACCTTTTTTAAAAAGTTTAACATTTCTTTGATTTTCCTCAAAAGCAGACAGCTTGTCTTATTTCTTCCCAGTTTTAAGAAAGTAGGGGTTTGTTTTGTTTTGTTGGCTGAAGTGGGGATTGAACTCAGGTCCTTGTGCTTGCCAGGCAAGCGCTTATTCTACTGAACTATCTCCCTGGCCCCCAGAAAGTAGGTTTTTAAAAGTCATTTTTATGTTTATTTTTTTGTAATTAGAGTATGTAAGAAACACATAACTTCAGGATTTTGGGGGGAGTTAAATGATACGCTGAATTGGAAATTATGCTAAAAATGTAAAGAATTGTTCTGTTTTGAATTAGTGCGTATTATGTGGAATAATTGGTCTCATTGTGTCATTTTCATAAATGTCCATAGCATGCTTAGATCACAGTCACCCCCCACAAGTTCTTCCTCACTGACGGGTGACTCCTCCCCCTTAGCTCTTTTTCTCTAATAGTCTCCTATGCAAAGTAGGTTTTCTAATGAAACCGTGCTCTGGAAGAAAAGTTAACGTGAGGAGAATAGCTGTCATATTTCTTCCTTGCAAAAGGACAAAGGTATCTTGCATGTAACATGTGACATGTATTATTCATGGAACAGTAATGGACGCATGGCGTAATAGGCAGCTCTGTGGACAGTGATTTCCCTCTGAGGCCTCGAGCCTTGAGACGGTGTGTGGGGAGGAAAGAGACACATGCATGGCCACATAGTTTTTAAATCTTTTATAAAAAATTTGAATTCGATTTATAATATGCTCATATTTTATCAAAAGAGGAAAATATAAACATGGCATTAACTTAGGTTAGCTCAGGGAATTATGAACTACGTGTTCTAATTATGTGGTACAGTATAATAGAGACATACAAGCACTTATAGAGGATTATGCACAAAGCCATGGGCGATTAATTGCGCTCCATTTTACAGGTGCCTGATAATCCCATCACACATTATTTAGTTTAAGAAAATCTCAGTGAGACATACTTTTGGAAGCTTCCATCAAACATCAAAGAGCTGCTTCATCTTAACGTTCACACTCCGATCCACTGCCTCAGAAATAGCGTGCTGCTAATAACACTGTGTGAAAACAAGATGCTCCAGCGGGCTCCACGCTGTGGCCTCTGTGTGCTGGTGGCACCGTCTAGCTGACCTCTCTTAGTGCTGTGGTTTCAGAGAGCTAACTGAATAGAGAGTGGAAGGGTTGCAAGGGAAGACCTGAACAATTCATAATTTAAATTCTTACATTTACATAATGTCAAATCTGTAATTTTGTTTCCCATGGTTTAAATTACCTGTGGTTAACAAACATATTAATATTTGTCTTGACTATCTAAAGAGAGATCACATTCACATAACTTATTAAAATGTACTGCTATGGTCTTATTTTTAGTTCTTTTTATTAATCTCTTATTATATATCAAACTGATAAATTACATTTTGCCATAGATATGTATGTATGGTATTTGGCACCATCTGCTGTTTCAAACATCATCTGGAGGTCTTAGAATGTACCCCCAAGGACAGAAAGATTACTGTACTTCTTGGATAGTGTAATAGGGTATCCAGGGAACATGAAATTTGAAACATGAAATTGGAATGAGGAAGAGAACACCAGTAGGGCTTCCAAAGAAGACACTTTGTAAGTTTCCTCTTAATTCTTGAAATCCTTGACAATCATGTTAGTGTTTCCTGTTTTCTCCCCTAATTGTACTTTGCTTATTCTGAAGAGGTAGCAACAGACAGGGAGATGAGTGGAGGTTCCCCTCTCACCAGATCCTCTCTCCTGTGTAAGTGTGAGATGGCTTCCTCACACTTCCCTCTCCAAGGGAAAGGAGCACAGGCCTGGAGCCCACAGTGGTGACCTTTGTGATGGTGCTGGAGGTGAGGAAGCTGGGGGGATGTGAAACAGCAGCAAGGATACCAGGAGCAGCTTATAGAGCCCCTCTGCCAGGGAGATTTCCCTCTCCTTCTGCCTTTAGAGTGCAGTTCTTTCTATTCCCCTTGTCTTGTGTTTCAGGGGATATTTCTTCAGAAACCAGGGTAAGGTGACCTGGTGGATTTCTGCACTACCAAATTTTTGTCACAGAATATGCAGACTTGGGTCAGAAAGGCTACCTGTGTCTTTTGACTATTAAGTGAGATAAAGGAAAGAGAACTTCCTCAGGCCCTTGACAAAGCATTAGCAGTCCAGGCCTTCTCCCTGCCCCAACACACACCCGACCCCTCCTGAAACAAACACACATGCAGCATGCTATGCTCTTCCATACTCCAGCACCTCAGCTCAGACCGTCCCTACAGCTCTGTGTTGCCACCCTCCTGCCAGCTTGTTTTCAGACTCTATGAAAATATTACTTCTCTCCAGTTCCTGATTCTGCTCAGTCATAATTTGGGCTGCTCTTATGAGCTCTGCATTGTTATACATTCCTGTGAAACGCTATTGTGTCACTGCACTGAGCTATTTTGCTTTTTTTTTTTTTTTTTGGTGGTGGAACCAGGGATTGAACTCAGACCCTTGTACTTGCCAGGGAAGCGCTTATTCTACTGAGCCATCTCCCTGGCTCCTTTTGCATTTTTTTTTTAAACTGCATCTCTGCCTTATCATGCTCCAGAGCTCTATATATTGAGCCAGGAAAAGAAATCTTCCTGTTTTGCAAAATTTCTCCAACCAAACTTATATGTACTTCTGATAACAACTTAATATAACCAGTGATAGAGAATAGTCAGAGGACTTAAATAGATGTGGATATGTTATAGTCATTCTCACGGCTTATCACAGCTTACATTTTCTTGGCTTACTTTAAGATTATCACCTTTGCATCTCTGTTTATTAGAGTGATTAGGCATATCTGAAACATCTCTTTGCTGAGATCTTATCATTGACATCAATAATTTTCTACATTCACAGATGTTCTTTGGGCCCTTGGTCAGCAATCTTATGGGAAGAGAAAGCTCGCAGCTATGCTTTGGACGTGCTGTGTGTGAGACTCGATAAGCCTCAGCTGTGTATAGCAGGGAATGGTGGGATGTGCGTGTCGGTGAAGGTTAAAAGAGACTTGAAGGTTCCATGCCGCTAAGGATCAGAGCTGTATTTGAGGGGGTGTGTTATGTTGGGATGGGTAGAGAGGGAGGAATGGATAGGAGAGAGATTTCAGAGGAAACATCTAAAAAGTTGCAATACATCATCTATAGGACTGAAATAGATTAAAATATAAGACAAAAATGAGTATGTTGGGCTGAGCAAACTTGGAGAATTTGGAGAGCCACCTTGAATATGGTAGTGAAAGGTAAATCTATCTCAGTCAGCTTGAGCACAGTCTCCTTGTGGTATATCGTAAATGCTTCTACCTCCATGCAAGACCCATAGAGACACAAAGCCTCTATTGTCAAGAGGTAAGAGACTTTGTTTGCTTTTCTTCATATCCCTATGCATATTCCTATATAGGAATATTCTGCATATTCCTACTAATATTTTTTCATATTCCTTTTCTTCATTTTCCACTTGATCCTTAAAACATTCAGCTACCTAAACAGGAACTGAACAAAAGTAAATTTAAGAACTCATTCTGTCTCCTTCCTTTGTCCTCAAAAGCAATGCCACCACAGGTGAAATATCAAATTACTTTGATACTAAGTCTAAGGAGGAAGGCTCCCTCTTCCTGGAAAGTTTCTAGGAGCTGGAAGAGCTGGCCTGCAGGATAGGGTGAGAAGAAGAGAAGCTTTTCTCAGCCTCCTGAACTGGTGGATCACCCATGAATGTGCTTTGCTTACTTGAAAGGCTTTTGAGATTCCATCGCAAACCTGTAAGCACAGTGCCTGTTTGTGTTACAAGGAGTAGTGCTCAAATATTTACTGGAGTAAATAAATATGTAATTTTTGTATCTCTTCAGAAAGTTCCCCCCCAACCATGTGTCACGTGGGGCGTGGCTTCTGGTCTTCCTTTCTGAGTGGGCCCGGGAGGATGGACCTCTGTGCATCTCATTCATGAGGCCAGCGCACGCATCCCACCTGCACTCTTCCCTCTCACCACACACAGCTGTAGGAAGCCGAGTTTTGCTGCGGTCACCAGCTCTGATACAGCTTTCTCTTCTTGCAGGCGCACGCAGCTTGACTGACTCAACAGCAAGGTGGACTTTCTTTGTGTTTAAAGAAGCAAACAATGTCTCCGTGTCTGTAGAGATGATTTGCAGTTCAGCCCGGCTGAAGCTGACCGAATGAGACTATGGGCTGTGCCTCTGCCAAGCATGTTGCCACTGTTCAAAATGAAGAGGAAGCCCAGAAAGGGAAAAACTACCAGAATGGAGATGTGTTTGGCGGTGAGTTCTGTCACCCCTTTTTCTTTTTCTTTTTCTTTTTTAGTTTTTATTTTTTATGAAAGCACATTTGCAATACATACTGATTGCATTCATTGTGGGGAGTTGGTGCATGTACTCAACACTCTTTGGTTCTTCTCTCTCTCCCATCCCTCATGGCTGCTTCCCACTCTTGATCTGATACCCATTGGAACAAAATCTTTTCTCTACTTCCTATCACATATTCCCCATTCTGCTCCTCATTACACTTTTGGTTTCTCCGTAAGAGATACCATGTGGTATTTATGGGTGTGTATCTGATTTATTTCACTTAACATTATAATCTCACACTTTATTCTTGACCTGTTGGTTCCAGGGCTTTGATTTTGTTAACAGTGAAGAGCTGTGTGAGTGATTGGTATCTTCTTCCACCCCTGGGTGAGAGGGGTGAGGAGACCTGATAGAAACCAACACAAGCCTTTTATGCTGGATAATTTTTATCACAGTTTGGCAAAAATACTTCCACTCTTTTCAAACATGCTTATCCTGTGGTCCTGGAACTTCTGAAAGTCTTCTAGGAATATCTTTACTTGTGCTTCAAGACTGGTCATTGTGACTTGGGGAAGAGCTAGAAGTCCCATGGTGCCAGATCTGCCAAATAAGATGGACCCATAATGATTTTTATGAGGCTGCCTTTCTGTTGGACAGCACACAGCAGCAGCATTCACCATAACTTCCATTGTACCTTATGAAGGTGTTCATGAAAGAACTTCCAAAATGGAATAAATGTGTTTGAAGTAAAGGGCAAGTTTTAGGGGCATTAATGGCAATGTGCCTTTTACTATAATTAATTTTTTAAATTTAAATTTTCACTGTGTATTTTGATTGTCCTGGTAGGGTACTTTTAGAAGGATCATGGAGGTTTTATTCCAGAGATAGGATTTAAACCAAGCTTTAAAGACCTAGTAGGATTTACATATAAGGTCATGCCTGTGTGGGACAGTGGCCCTGGAGGATCCTGGTTGGAGAGAGAGCTATAAACAATAAGATTGAACGAAGGGCAAAAGTGGGAAGATCCAGCATTTATACAGAAGGTACATGTGTTTTAGGGTTAACAGAATGAAGTATATATTTGCATATTAAGTACAAAAATGAAATTAATGTAATAATCATCTGAAAAGTTCTCTGTGATCACTCAGAGTGGCGCAAGCATGTGTGGCGCAAATGTCAGAGCTTCCAATGCGTAGCCATACTGGGCCTACATGTACATTTTTTTGCCTCAAAGAACTGTACACTGAAAAATGAGTCAGCATTTAGAATTCATGACATGCACATAAAATTCCAAACTCTTCAGAAGCTCTGATGGCCCTACATTTTCATTCTTTGAGCCATAGTTACTGGGTGGGGTACCCCTGCGGTCACCCCGGACTCTCCAATGAACCAATAACTGCTCACCCTTCCTTGTGGGTGCCCATGAAGTCCAAGCATCACCCATCTAGCTGTTTATGGGCCCTGGAGTTTCCTGACCCTGAGTTTATTGCTTGAAAGATCGATTATTGTGCTGGCTGCAATGGTGCATAGTTGTAATCCCAGCACTTGGGAGGCGAGGCAGAAGGATCCCTTCAAGTTTGTGGCCAGCCTGGGCTACATAGTGAGTTCAAGACCATTGTGAACTGCATAGTGAGACTATTGCTCTGATGAAGTGTGACTGTGCATACACAAGTTTATTTAGCTCAAGGCAGATGAGACAGTTTTTGTTAAATGACTAACAATAACATCTACAACTTGACATTTGTGTGGGCTTTTTCTTTATAAAAACATTCCTTTTTCCCTAGCTAGATAAGGAAGCTCACTGAGAAGATGTTTACATTGAGCTGCACTGTTCCGTCTCTGTCAGATTCATCTACTGTTTGTCCGGTCTTAGCTTTTAATTCATTGTAATGATGGTTCTAGTCACCTGGTGAAGAATGAAGGATGCTGCAGAATGCTTTGTTAAAGTGGACTAATGTAAATGGGATAAAGGTTTTGTTTTATTTTGTTTTACAGAGGTGTGTTTTATTTTGTTTTGTTTTGGGTTTGGTTTGGTTTTGACCTGGAACAGATTTTCCTCTCATGTTGACTGTCTGTAGCTTTTAGATCTGTGGAGAAAAATAATGGGTAGATAAGCATCTTCATCAAACTAGAATCTAGATTATTGACACCATACTATCTGGGAAAACAGCTAATTAGAACTACAGTTCTTCTTGTCACCCTCAAATGCTTAACTCTTAAGAGAAAATAATCTAACATGAAGAATTTGTTTAAACTAGCTTCTATTGGATGTTCTGTGGCATTATTATTTTTATAACCGAGTTCTTATGTATGGAGCCACCACTGTGTCAGGTACCCTGAAGCATTTACATTCATTTTCATGTTGAATTTTTATAACAATTCTTTGAAATATGTGCCACTCCAACTTTGTGTACCTGGAGGCTGGAGCATAGAGAGAAGAGGAGGGCCAAGATTGCATGGCCACCAAGGGACAGCACTGCGTCTCTTTTTGCAGGAGCTTTTCCACTGTTCTGCCTAGTTTAGACTTGCAGGCTTCTTGCCTCAGCTGCTCAGAGCGCGGAATTACAGGTGTGTGCCACTGCGCCTGGCTGCCTGATCACTCTTTAATGCTGAGTGCTGTGGGTGAGGGCTTTTGCTGAATGCCTTGGTGATTACAGAGGGAAATAATCTATAAGCCTTGCTGCCTAGGACTTTATGAGAGGATAAGTGTTATGAGGCAGAATAAGCCGAGTACCCAAAAAGGTAAAAACATATATCATGATAAGAATCAGAGAGTGGACAGTCTGACTTAAAAAACAGAATTAGAGCAGATTTCTTATAGAGATGACATCTGGGCTTGGCATTGTGGGGCTGGAAGTATTTAAACCTGTTGGACGAAAGATGTAAGAAATAACTAGATAAGGAAAGGCTTATAAATAATCCAGTTTGAATGGAACACACATGAGAGAAAGCTAAATTAGGGTTAGTTACAGAAAACTTTGAATACCACATTGTAATCTTTAGAAAGATAAACTTAGAGTGTAAGGGAAAGATTCAGTGATACCCATTGAAGAGTTTTGTACTCATATTCTTCTTAGCAGTGAGACCACCACACCATTCATTTCCAAACTGAGTTACAACTACGATAGCCAGGAATCCTCTATTTTTCTAGCACACTATGTGTATTCTACTGGTGAAAGGAGCCTTGTGCAAGTCAGGTGTTGCAGGCATTAGACAACCTCACGGCCTCAGTGACATTAAACAGTAAACGTGAGTTGGTGAGTCAGCCAGGGTGGTGCTGTCCCACTTGTCTGGGAGGGCAGGCACCTTTCACTTGCCAGAATGCAAGCCATGTACATGATGTCTGTTAAGTGTGGGCTTAGTGCTGGCACACTGCCATGGCCACCTACATTTCACTAGCCCAAGCAGATCTATGTACACCCTCAAGATGAGGAGGCAGAAGCGTGTGGTCTGGTCACAGAGAATGCACTGCAAGGGAATGAAGGCAGGGATGGTCACAGACCAGGACTAATCTCTATACCCCAGCCCTACCTAATCCTTGCCGTGTTGGAGGCACCACGAGTCTGTACCCATAAAGTGCAGTTAAGGTCTCTGCTAAATTTTGTCTATCCCCCTAGTACTCACTGAAGTTTTAATGACTCCATTACACTGTTAGACTTTCTAACATAAACATTTTCAGGCTTCTGGTGTGGCAGTCAATAAAACAAGTGCTGACAGAGGTTCACCACTCAAGGAAGGTACTTTTTCTAGCCCTCCAGTACTCTGAGGCCAGAACTTCAAGAATTCAGTGGCAAATTAAATGCCAGTACCTTAGATGTCACTGCATGCCAGCATATAAATATGACATCCGAAGATCCTGTCTATGTTACTCTACTTAATTTACAGAGAGAAGTTCACAGAATCCCAAGTGATCACACATGGTAGCAGATGAATTACTGGCTTACTTTAAAGCATTTGCTGTCTTGTGTCACCTGTTATTTCAAGGACTTGTAATTGCATAATAAACGATCTCAAATTTGATGGCTTAAAGCAGTAGTGTTTATTATATGCCTCAGTTTTATAGGATGGCTGGGGTTCATGGGCTTGTCTCTCCTGGGCTCAGTAATGCAGTTGAATTTAGCTGGACTCTCAGTTGGGTTCAGCTGTTGAAGCTGGCTTCAGACCTATATCCAGAAGAGCTCTCTTCTCAACTGGATAGCCAAATTTTTCTCCCAGTGCTTGTAATCTGTCTTACTTTTCTTATCTCTGGGACACAAGGAAGAGAGTTTTACTTTGGCTCAAGTTCTGTAGAGGTTTCAGTCTAGTCAGCTGTCCCCAGGGCCAAAGCAGCACAGGGAAAGGGGCTGCGTGGAGAAAATCTCACATCATGCTGTCCAGGAAGCACAGGAGCCAAGGGAGGACCCGGGCAGAGAAGTGAACCTTTTCAGGCCAGGCCCCCAGTGGACCTGCCACTTCTGGACCAGGTCCCACTCCTAGAGAAAGTCAGCTCTAAGCCCCAATAATCTAATTGTCTTTCAAAATCTAGTTACCTGCTTATGAGACTTTGGGGGAACAACTAGATATAAACCATAACATGGTCTAAGAAAGTAGAAGCTGCCCAGCTTCTTAAAATTTGGGCTACAGAGTCCAGGAATGTCACCTTTGCTACAGTCTATGGATCACAGCAACAGCCAATCTTGTGCCCCGGGAGCAGAGGCACCCCATCTCTGAGTACGTGCCCAGAAGGAGGAGAGGACTTGGGAGCCATATTTGCAGACTTGATGCCACAGCCAATGGGAAAGACAGTTGCAGTTCCTTGATTGGATTACATTCCAATCTGGACATATTCCCCACTGAATAAAGTGGCTACATTCACTTTTTAAAAGCTAAATGTTTTAAAATGTTTTGAAAATGTTACTACAGCATATTGTTGAAGATTTGACAGAATCTGTGAAGGGCGGCATATTTGGGGATGGCTCTGAAGTATATGTCTG